GGGGGGAGGCGCTGCTGTCTCTTTTTCACACACTCCGCTTGACGATTGCGCACGTGTTCCACAACTTGGGGGGGAGGGCGCAGCGGTTATTTTTTCAAGTCAAACTCGAGTGGAAGTGACGAAAGGAGGCGCTTGACAGCTGCAGTTTCGGAGGGGTAGGTATCTACAGGCGCGCGCCTCCCCATGCACACAGTACAGAAAAGGTTAGTGGATGGAGGTGTCGTCCAGCACAAGATGACAAATCTAGGTGAGACAAGGCAAGTCACTCCGCTTGACGACTGCGCACGTGTTCCACAACTCGGGGGGAGGGCGCAGCGAATTGAGACAAGGCAAGTCTTGCAGTTTCGGAGGGGTAGGTGTCTACAGGCGCGCTGCCGCTATGGAGCCGAGCCGCGCAACAGCGTGACACCCCCGCGTCATCACGGCAAGTGGGCTGGTGCAGCGTGCTGGGTGGGCGCTGTGTAAGTGGTCCGAGGGGCATAGGCACTCGCAGGCAAGGGTCAAGGGTTAAAAAAGCAAGGTCAGGGGTTAAAAAAGAAAGGTTGGGGGTTAGAAAAAAGTGCTCGGGGGTGAGAAAAAAAGGGTCCGGGGGTTTAAAAAAAGAGGTCGGGGGGGTTAAAAAGAAAAGGTCTGAAGGGTTAAAAACAATTGTTTTGAAGGGGGTTAAAAAAAGGGTCGGGGGGTTAAAAAAAAGTGGTGGGTTAAAAAAAGAGGTTGGGGTGTTAAAAAAAAGGGGAGCCCACATCCTTTGTCGAGTGGAGTGCGGACGTGCCGGCGAGTAGTCGCGTCCACAAACTGTGCTGCCTTGCTCGTTCACGAGCTGTCCCCTCAAAGTTGATGGTTGATCCTTGTTTCAAGTCTTTCTTTTGTCCCCTCATGCTTGCAATCCCCACAAAACCATCAATTTCGAAGTTGTGGTTTTCGGTTGGAATGTGTTGCAATCATCTCAAATGTCCACCCAAGCAAACCTGATCTGCTTCCACCTGCCATCTCGCTGTAGATAGCTGATGCTGGAGTCTCTAAGTTCACTGAAACCAGGGTTGATGGTCAAGTGATGGTGCATGACTCTCACCCCGCCCCCCCAAAAAAAACAACAAACACACATACGCACACACACACACATGTATACCATCTGAAATTTCCAAGCTCGTACCCCATCCACCCCCCAAACCAAAAACTGTTCGGGCCTTGGCATTGTCTTCCACCTCGCGGCCAATGGTATCGCCCTCGGCGATAGCGCGGGTGACCTGACGCAAAGGGTGTAGGCCGGACTGCTGGAAAAGGAACATAACCATAAAAACATGTCACCTGGTGCAGGAAGTGCGCTGTAATTGGGATAGATGTTGAAGGTGCAAAGTATATTTACACCATGACAAGCCTCCAGAAGAAGTTGGAGGACATCCACAATATAATCAGAATAAATATACAGTATACATCCATTGGCCGGGGGGAGGGTGCAAGCACTCGGAAGGCACACTTGAAGGTGCAGCTTCAGGTGTCAGAACTCCGATTTCCAAAGTGCTGTTGCCAACTCATGCTGGGCTACCCTCCTTCCGCACAATGCCGAATGCTCCACAATAAGGTTTCTAGGCGTTTTGCGGCCTACGCCACACCTATTCACGCCAGTCCGGCGACTTCTATAGGCGTTTGGTTCATCGTTTCACCGAAGCTGCTGCGTGAGTGCATCTTCCCTTGCCTCCAGCTCCTGAAGCAGTTTCTCCACCCTCTCGACAACCTCCACAGGCGTATACCTGGCAAACGATCCCCGCTTAAGCTGTGTTCGTTTTGCTTTTTGAGGAGCTGACTCCGGCAGTTGGTGCTGAAACAAAATTGGACTTTTAGATAAACAATCAATTATACACAATATTAAAACATATATATTTTGAACAAGTCTATTTGGATATCCCCCCTCAAGTGGTTTGAGATTTCATAGCTCAGGGCTCCTGAAAGTGTTGATAGAGGAATTCAGTCTTCCTTTCGGGGCCATGTTCCACTTCCATGTTTGTTGGATGGAGGGTACTACAAATGAAGTGTGTTCATCTCTCACTTAACGCCATCATCCCTGGTTGGTGCCGCGGGGTGGTCCACCGCGGCCTGTCATCGGCGCTGCTGCCGTCCTCCGTATGGATGCGCTGCCGCGAGCGGTCCAGGAGCCTGCAAAGGCGGTCTACCGGCCGGTTAGTCCGGAACTCGTGCGTTGGTGCGGAAACTGCATGGTGGCTGCTATATATGTATATATATATATATAGGCATAGTAGTCATACTAATAGTCAGGATTTGAGGTCTCTTGTATAAATTGAAGTGTCCTCAATCCCTTCCATATATATATATATAGTCATATCTAATAAATCATAGTATGTGTGCTGCAGTACTCTGTCTCAACAAGGCATCTGAGGGAATCAACAGCTCACTGAGCAAGATCATGCAAAGGAACATTTCTATTCGGGGGGGTGGATAGGTTTATCAGTTATGTGATATGTGATGGAGCTGTTCTTTGATTCGCTGCCCTCAAGTGCCTATGTGTGCCACAAATCCTGAAGTTGATGCCAGCCAAACATATCAACTGAATCGTATGAAATGTTCACCTTGAGTTTCTGGATTTAAAACTGCAGACTGCAGGGCTCAGCCTTCACAACAGGTTTACCACTTCAGGCTCCTGGTCAACTCATGACGAAGCAAGGAAACACATGGCGTCCATGGCTTTCCCTTCCTCACGAGTGCCTTCGAATTGCCTTTATTGCATCCAAAAGCCTCTTGGCTCCTGCCTGCTACAAACACAGATATCAAACAAAACACCTCTCTCTCTCTCTCCCTCCCTCCCTCCCTCTCCCTCCCCCAAACTTCAACGCCCCACGCGCCCGATAAATACCCCGCCAAAAAAAAACACCCCATCAACAGCCGCGCCAAATCAACACCCCGCCCAACAAAAGACATCGGGCCTCGTAATGTTGATGGGGATGTGCTGTTTCACATCACCATCCGGAAAGACCTGCCGCCATTGCCGTTCGATGCACCGGCGCCGTTCGTTCGAAGCAAAAACGGCGAACTCGGCGGGCGTGAAAGCAGCTTCGCCGCTTCGACCCCAAAGAGTGAGTGCTGTAGGTATGTATGTAGGTATGTATGTAGGTATGTATGTATGTATGTATGTATGTATGTATGTGTGTGTGTGTTACCGAGCCCTGAGGCTTGGTAAAGCAACGGCGCAAGACAGATTTTGTATATGATGTCTTCTTGTTGTGTTTTTTGTTGTTCCGGATTTTTCGCGATACTCGCCTTCTGGAGACCCCAGAAAACACCGTGCAACGCACGCGTGGGGTCCCAGTCGAATAGAGCCATGTCTACGTCTTTCGTCTCACCGACCGGAGGCTGTGTTTCGTAGCGCCATGTGTTTGGCGCCGCACAGGTCGCGTTGATGGTTCCATCAACGGAAGAACGCACCGATGGTGGGGACCGTCTACGCAGCACATCGTTGTTTCGTTCCATTTGAAGGGCACGAAACCTGAGCTCACTATAGAGACCTGGGCGCAACAGCCTAAGATTAGCCGATCAGATCTGCAAGGTGTTACCGCCACACGGTCACTCTCCCGTGCTCGCACGGACAGTCAGCACGTGCCAGTCGCCCAATGTCGACCCAACAAGCGTTGCACTAGTCAGAGACTACATATAATGACCCCATGATGACCCCTTGATGAATGATGATTTTATGATGACCCCCATGATGAGGGAAAGTAGGGAATGGATGGGAATGGTATGATATTCTGCATATATGTTCCCCCAACTTTCCAGTATTTGTCCCTCTTAGGAAACCACAAAAAGCGCTGGTTCCAAGACCTCGTCACAATCTTTTTGTCCACCTTCGAGGTACCTACAACAGAAGGACACATTTGTCCGGGCGCATGACCTCTCAGCAAGTTCACCCCTCAGGCCCCTCAGGCCCTCTGACCTGCCGTGCTCTTCCCTGCCCAGCCAATCCCTCCAAAGGTTCTACTTTACTTTGGATGGTTGATCTTCAAAACAGGGAGCCCAAAACGGTCGCACGACTTGCGATGTAATCAAAACCCAAAATGGTGCGAGCACCTGCCACGCCGCAACGCCCGAAAACTGCCTCTTTCTCTCGTGACATCGCAACATGGGGGAGTTGTGCAATTTGTGAAGATCCCAGGGTAAACAACATCAAAATAACAGTGCGAGCGCGAATTCTGAAGTAGGGCCCAATCGAAAATGGCAGTGCAGGCGGTAGTTAGTATCGGTCCTTGATTCAAGCAGCAGTGTATAATCCAGGACTTGGATTGAACCCGCTCAATGCTCCCTTGTCCCAAGGCCCGCGCCCCTCCGAGCCTCTTTACAGATTTGGTCCTTGGTTTCCTTCAGCCTCTGCCACCTCAATGACATGGTGGCATCCTCGGCCTCTGCCTCCCTACTTTGATCGACAGAACATGAATCTGACCAGTTTGAAACAGTCGAGGACACGATCATCCAACAGGGAAATAAACAACAAAATCACATCAACATCAAACACTAATGTCTGGGAACAAATCTTCCGGTACCCAAGCAGGTCAGCGGGCTTCCAAGAGGCTCTAAGACTCACCTTTGACTCTGAGTGGTTGAATCATGTTCTACCTGCCAGGTGAGGAAAACTATGATCAACACTCCTGAGATGGCGATCCAGCAGGTCTACGTCGGTACTACCAGGCTCTTGTCGACCTCCCTTCTGCAGCTGTTGGTCCAAGGAAGCGGAAGCAAGCTGACATCAAAAAAAACATATTGTTGCTCCAGTTGTTGGCGACCAAGTTGATGCACATGTTGGGCTGTTTGCTGGTATGGTATCGTATTGGATGGTATTGGCATTATTGGTATGTTCTGAATCTTATGAAGCTTGCATTCGGGCTCCTCCCTGCGAGCATTTAGCATGCAGGATTTGCATGCAGGATGGACTTTGTCTCGAAATGTCAACCCCAAGCAAACTTAGGAAATAAGACTACGTCCACCAAGCTCAAAGTAGAGAGAGATATTATGGCGCAAACCTCATTGATTATATAACCAATGGCGACTCCTGATCTACGTAAAGTGTTCTAATGGTCACCCGATTCTATTCACGTCATCCTTCTTACTAAGCTTCTTATGTCCAAATCAACACACATCTTAAGGGTCCAAAGGCCTTCCTTCCTCCATCACCACTCCAGTCACCGCTTTGATCTAAAGGCTCCCGGACTCGTCGTCCAGGACCTTCTGAAGCCCCACATCCTCCTGACCAACGCAGGCTGCGCTGGCTGCGGCCAGTGCGCTGTTCCGTCCAATGTCATTGTGGAGGCGAAGGGCACATGAACGCTGCTTCCAGCAAAGATGAGAAGTTCAGTGAGTCTACCAGGTCTACCACCCGCCATGATGAAGCAAAACACACACAAACAACCACTTCCCACTTCCCCCTCAAAAAAGCACCAACCACTTCCCACTGTCCCACTTCCCCGGCCTGCAACTTAGCCCCCCTCTCCCTTCTTGGCCCTCAAGAAGCCCTGCCTGGATCTTGCGGACGACCTCTGGGGCCAGCCAATCCAGGCCATAGTCCGGCTCCCGGTACTTGTGCCTCATCCCACCGGACGCACCGGGGCGCCCACGCGTCGCGGAGGGGAAGACGCACCGGGGCGCAGGGGGGTTCAAATGCCGTTGGCACGACGAGGCGGAGGATTTTTAATGGATTTTTGGGGGAAAGGCGGAGGTCGGTTGGACAGAATCCTTGATTTGGGGGGAGGATGGACTGGATGGATCTCTTCCTGAATGGGATCTATTCCCTCAAAGCGGATTGCGTTTAAGGATGCTTAGGGTTGCTAGGAAGCAATTAAAAGGCTTGTTTCGCGCTGCTCAGAACATCAGTACTTCGTCTTGTTGCCCAAACACTTGGTTGGGCCCGCCATCAGCAAGGCAACGGTTGGCGGTTGGCGAAGTCTGCGACGTTGGACTCTTGATCGTATGATTGATTCAGGATATCCCTTGATCATGTTGGATGTCCCCGTGGTACTCAACAAAGACTTGAGCATCAAAACAATGACAGGCCATCATAAAGTGAACATGTATATATTATATATATACACAGTACTTGCAAAATCAGGTCAACCAGTGGATGAAGGTTGGCACCAGCTCCACAAAAATCTTGCTTGTACGATCAATGAGCAAACTATGGCGAAATATGGCAAACATGATGACAAGGAATGGATGACTAGGATCATCCCATGTAGTTCACAGCTCCAAATCCTCTCCCACGGACAATGAAACTCAAACTGTTCCTGAACAAGCTGAGTGGGATGATTGGAAACCGGCAAGAAAACTTGTCCACCATCCTAGTCGTTCATCAATGACCGCGGTACGAGATCTTTCAATTCCCAGCCACCATCCTCACAATGACACTCTCAGTCAATGAGGAAAAAAACGATTTCACTCAGCTTCTCACCCCATGTCTGACTCGTCCCCTGAACAGCACGTCATCCTACTTCGGCCATCCGGACTGGAAGGAACTCTCCAACTTCTTGTGATCGTAAGTCATGATGTCCAACGTCTGGTCCTTGACCAAGTGAGGTTGTATAAAAACCCCCTATCCTTTTGCCTTACCACTTTTGGCGTTATCGGTTTTTTTTCTTCCTTATCGTTTTACAGTACTTTGACTAACTGCAACATATGTAACATATGTAGTATACATGTGTGTGTGCACTGCGTGCATGTGGTGTGGAACCTGCAGACATGAAGACATTAGGTACAATTCCCCATGCTGGAGTCCATGCTAGAGTCCCCAGACAGAAGATCTTATTGCTGTCCATGGCGTTCATATGTGGTGGCCTACCTACACAAAGGTCTTTTAGGCTCGCTGCGTTATCGTTTTTGTTATCGTTTTGTTATCGTTTTGGTGCCTGGTGCAACTTGGATTTTTTTAAAGATTCTGCCCTAAAGAACGGGAGATGGTTCACACTCTGTTTGTCGAGCAGGGACTGTTCTTTCGGAGGCCCAGCAAACACTCCTTGTTGCTCCCTCTGTGAGGACATAGGCCCTAAAACCACAAATAGAAACATGCCAAGGGATTTCCACAACAATCATCGGGGGTTATCGTTTTTTTTTCTTCCTTATCGTTTTACAGTGGTTTACAGATGCTCCAAGAAAAACGGACATGCGAATACTAATTCCCTGGGTGGGGGGTTTTTATAATCTCTCAAGTGCACTTCTGGGTGCAAAAGAGATTGGAATTTGAAGCAATCAAAGTCAAAGGAAACTCAGGAAACTTAGATCACACCCAAGTGACTCGTCACAAGCACGATGATCAAATTATGGTAAACAAAGCTGCTTCTCTATGGGCCATCCAATCCATGTTTTACCTGTACACCCTTGAAGTGCCTGTCTTGGGGCCTCTGCATCAAACAGAGCGTCCCCTCTCCGCAAATGCAGAATAAGTAGTTCTCACTTAGTTGAAGCATGTTTAAGTTTAGATCCAAATCGCTGCATCTCATGGTATGACAGAAAAAGCCTTCAGCAATTTACAGACTGTCCTCAATCCACAGGCCATCCATGCCATCCTCGCCATAAAGGAACTGGATGATGTCCTCGGCACAGAACTCAATCTGCGGGACCACGGCAAGGAGGGCAGGTGATGGCAAGTGGGTAGTTCGTTGGCTGGTTGCTTCACCGTGAGTCCTTGAAAAGAGAACAAAAACACCATGCCCACTAGAGGTGCGACAGAAAGATGAACATATTGATATATAATATATATATATACACAATATTATATATATATATTAACATGCTTTGACACCCTCGAACCCACCTCACAGTCAGAAGCAAAGCTTAAAAATATCTAGGATAGTCGGTTTTGTACCATAAAGGTTCTTGGGTTTTCACAGATATTACTTGTATTAATCATTAATCTTCATCATTCTCTTCCGGTGTCCATAGCTGTTTCTGTCAGACTAGTTGTCCAAACCTTGGGCCGCTAAAGCTAAGCTACAAAAGCCAAGACTTTCTGAAAACTAAGCTACAAAATGGAGAGGTCCAACGGGAAAAACCGGGTCACGCTACAAAATGACAGGGTTCAAAAGTAATAGCGCCGAAAACCATTTGTATCAGTTGTTGTTTAAGGACAAAGAATTGGTTCCTTTGCACGCTCCGTCAACGCAAAAACTGATCATGATGATGACAGTCATTTTGTACTCTAGCAGCCCAACAGCCCCTTACAAAATGTCGATCTCGAAAGCTTAGTCCTATTCAGTATAATCCGACAGCCCTTACAAAATCTAAGTCTGACAAGCTCTGATTCAATATAAGTCCAATCCATGTCCAATCCCTTTGGACCTACAAAATGCAAATCCTGCTACCTCAGTGATTCCAATGATATTGAAATCCTGGATCCTTACAACATGATGGATGATCTAAAATGGATCCTAGGATACCCCATGCTGTAAGGATACCCCATATTGTAAAGAATAAGTTTCAACCCGAGATTCATACCGGGATCATCCAAGGGGTGTCCAATGGACTACACTACTTAGCGATCTCCATTGGACACCCATTGGCCCATTGGATGGAGCAGGTATATAAATATAGACTTGAAGTAAACAATCTAAAAACTCAACTGCTAGGTATGTAGACCAATTGCCAATAGAGACTTGAACTTAAAGCTCAACTGCTAGGTGTCTCCACTCCCTTTTCAGGCTTCGACACTCCCTTTTGCCAGGCGCATCTGGAATGACCGCGGCAGCTGGGGCCGCCCACGTTGCAGGCATTGCGTGCCGTGCCGTCATAGGCCACCCTAGTGAGGCGGGTTCCGTATGTGGTACCGTCAGACTGGGAGTCTCTCTGAAGGCATAGATGGACCCCAAATAGATGGAAAAGTAGATCCCCACTACAGATGTATTGGAAACCATTTCTGTCTACAGTATTTGGATCTATTTGGGGGCCACTATACACCAAGGCATGAAGCACATCATGACTGGAGCTGTTTGCATGGAGAGACCCAGAGCTACATGTCCCGCTTTTTTGACCGGAATCTAACTCATCCCTGGAATGATTCCATGTGTGTTCTTTGTGGTTTGTGCAGCACGTCCCACTACCGACAGAAACCAAAGAGGCAAACAAAGCGTCCAAACAATGCTTCTCCACATGACCAAAGCGTCTTCCATCTGTCAAGACTCCTGCTACAACTTCATGTCACCACGTCGCATTTGGGAACTCCCATCGCTTGCCAACAATGATTGGGCGACTTAGGACTCAGCTTGGCAGGCCAAGATTGCTCTCTTGTTCATACTTCATTTTCTGGTGGGCATCGGTTTGGGGGAACTCACATCAAATAGCTGCCAAGGGTTTGCTATTGAAAACAGGTCTGCGCATGTGACTTTTGATGGTTGCACAAATGAGCAATGCTGAACGATGTAGTTGAACACACACACACACACATGAAAGCTATCATTGGACTGTGAGTATGCCTTGGTCGACTTGCCAACAGCCCCATGAGGCCACAAGCGCAATGGCCATAATGATCTACAGTCTATCTGGCCAAACAGTCTATGGCCATAATGATCTATAGAATAGGGCAATGGCCAAAAACAGTCGAGCTGGACACATTTGTTGGACCAAGCTGCTTGAGGGTCTCCATGGACTTCACCAACCGCCGCTGGATGTACCTAAAACCATGCTACCGCGGTAGACCCGAGCAACAAACCGACCAGGGTACCTATTGTCACCGGCAGGCTACCCGGTCAAGGCGGCCGTGTGCCACTGAAGCAACCTCTGAGTTGCTCCCCTGCAGATGAACGTGGAAACCCAAAACCACTGGTTGGTAGAGGAAAACAATCTTCCAAGCAGCCATTGTTAGTGTCCATATGATTTTCGTGAGTGGAAGTCTTCCGAAAAAGAAGTGGATGTGACAGTGGCACCGGACCCAAGTTCGGCATCCCAAGAGCTGGAAAATTGCTGAGTTGGTGTTCGATGTTCAAAGCATGGCAACCTACCAAAGGCCAACAGGCAAAGCCAATTTCGTAGCCCCCCCCGCAGCATGCACATGCCACTTGCACGAGACAATACAAGAAGTGATATACCTTCATGTAGGATATATTGCCATTCCCAGCCAGCCAAAAGTCCAACAAAACGTAAAAAATAGAACAAGGGGTAACAAGGGATCACAAGGGGTAAGACATGGTAAAACTCACCTCCCCTGCTACCCTGCTACCGACTCAAAGGACTTCCCACTACGACTTCCCACATACATTTATTTAAAAAAAAAAACATGTATGTGGGTTGACTCGTGGGTAATGGCACCAGACCTGCCAGCTAATGTTTATTCATTACTAACTTCGTCTCCAACGCACCCGGTCTCCGAGGTCTTGCAGGCGGTGTCAATGACTCCCTCTCTGCCGCCCATGGCGTGCATCCAGACCTGCCAGACCGCCGTGGCACCGACGATGGGAAACCGGTCATGGCACCAGGGCACCCTGGTTGAACACCGGAAAAACCCAGCGAATAGACGTGGCTCCAGGGTGAACGGTCAACATATACCGGGTGAAACTGGCTCAATATATGACTCCCGGAGTCCTATGATACATCGTACGACACCCTCGTTCTGAGAAGCAACTTTGACTGTCACCAAAAAGTTGCAAAGCAACGCGTCTTCACAAAAAAAAAACTCATATCATATCCATGTCCTCTCCCAAGTCGGACCAGAAAGACCTTCATAGCCCTTCTCCTCTCCATCGCCGCACCTCTTGAGGCGTGAGCCCGGCCAAGTAGCTGTTTTCCACGAAGCCCCGGGCTTCGGCGCCGTAGTCATCCTGGGTGGCCGGCGTGGGGTTTGACAAAGAGCTGGGCATAGCTGGGCAGTGAGACATGTGGGAGCTGGGATTTTGGAAGAACTTGGATCTTCCAAACATTGCCGGCATCAATTCGCTCCCTGCCCCTCCACTGAGCTCCTTCTTGCCATGGTGTGTTTTTTCATTGGGGCCCATTCGTAGAGGGGTGAGGGATCAAAAATAAAAAGATCAGCACCCAAAAATATTCAAGAGGGATCAATAAGAGAAAGGGAACAGGATTAAAAGAAACACTGCGAAGAAAAGAGAATGGGGAAAGGACAGTGGTAGTAACAGTAGCAGCAGCAGCAGCAGCAGTGGTGGTGGTGGTGGTGGTGGTAGGGAGTAGGAGTAGGGGTATGGCACAGCGCTTCCTGCTAAGCGAAGGTTTCTGGCTGTCACGCTAGGCGAAGGTGGGCCTTATCATCCACCTTTGTGGCAGCGTCAACGCAAAGAACATAGTAGTTGTGGTGCCTGTTGGCTCATAGTGGGGCGGTCGGGGTGATTGAGGCACTGGTAATAGCAGGGGTGTTGGGAATATTAAAAAAAGTGGGACGGGGTGCGGGGGAGGGCGCAACCACGGCTAAGCAAAGGTGGGCCTTATCATCCACCTTTGTGGTACTGTCAATGCAAAGAAGATAGTAGTTGTGGTATCTGTGGTAAGGTACAGTAGTGGGGTCGTCGGAGTGTTGGATGCACTGGTTGTATCAGGGGTAGTGGCAACATGTGGCAACTATTTAAGAAGCGGGAGGGGGTGCAGGGGAGGGCACAGTGCCTCCCCCGCAATACTGGGAAGCTCTCTCTCTACTAGGGAGCTACCAAGACTGAAGGACCATAAGACCAGCGGACTAGGAGACCAAGGGACTAGGTCTAGGTGCCCACTGGACCAAGGGACCGAAGGAGCAGGGGACCAGCGGAGTAGGAGAGCGAGACCGAAGGACCACGGGACCAGCGGACCAAAGGACCAGGGCACCTAGTCAGGATTTGTTTCTTTGTTACTGTTACTTTTTTCTGTTTGATCCTGATCTTCTATTCTTGATCCTGATGCCCCCATTCGTTCCCTCGAAGACCAAACCCATAGGTCTCGCTATGTCTCACACCGCACCAAACCCGCGATCCGGGTCCTTGGTGAAGTGAGGCAACGTCCGGTCGTTGAAGCCATACCTGCCGACGACACGACGGTTTGAAGGGCACGTCCGTCCGTCCGGACACGGACGGAACTTCCAAACGGATCGAGTGTCTACGTATTGCGTTGCCAATCAGTTGGTGGTTGATGGTGGTTGAACACAGGGTCAATGTAGGCATTTTTACCACACATGGAGTGCCTGGAGTAGATCATTGTAGAGAGTCACACAGTCATATCTACGATGTCACCCATCAAAACGGGGTGCCAAGCTTTTTCCCTTGTATTTTTGTGGAGCAAGTGCTCACGTTCTCTTCTTCTGCCTCACCTCGTTGAGTTTACTCCACAAACACGCCACCTGCAAATACTGCTCATGCCAAAGTGCCACAGCTAAAGGAACAGGCGATCCTGCAGCACTTTGGCGCCGGCCAGCCTGATGCGTGCGCCCTCCACGTTCTGCTGACCCACACACGCGACAATTTGGGCGATGTTCAACGGCGACCTGAGCAGCGAGGCATGTGAAGGGGCGAAAGCGTGGGATCTGCCAGCGCAAGCGCAGAATCCAGGAACTGATTTGGGGCTGGGCAACGCACTTCTAGGACTTTGACGCTTGGCCACTCGTGCCGGGCTCCCGCGCCCTTTCGAGCCAGCATTCACCTGTGCCGTCGGATCACGTCGCGATGGCACCGAACGAACTCAGGTGGAGTGGAGTGCGCCAATTCCGGGGGTCAAACGTCAGATTGGCTGTGGTTTCCGAACGTCGTGAAAACGCTTGTGTTTAAAACCAGGCACGGAAGTGCGGTGTTTTCTTTTTCCAGGATGCCATTCCGTTGATGTCAGGAATTATCATAGCTGCGCACGGGGGTGTAGCGAGATGTAGTGAGTATACAGTATACAGATACACGTACTTAGTCCCCGTGGTAGTGACCTTGTGTGCTTTCCTCAAACAATTCTAATCTACCGTCTCCGAACTCCATCGAAAAGTGGCTCCTTTTCCCTCGCTTGTCTTCCAGCATCTCCAGCTACGAAACAATCCCTCAGGAGGGCCGTTGAGCATTGTTGAGCCCTGAGGCCTTAAAAGTTCTGAGGTCCTGTGTCTTCCACCAACCTTAAAAGGACCTCAAAACTGGACCTCAGAACCTCAGGGACCTTAAAAGTTCGAACTGCTTTGCTTCATCCTCCGCCAACCTCAGCCCGCTCCCACCTCCACCGTGCTCCACCTCCCAAACACCCCCGTGCGGCGCGCCATGGAGATGATGTTGTTCCGCTCGTCGAGGGAGCTGCCTCCGATGTTGCCGGCATCCTGAACGGATGAAGAAGGAGGATGGAGTCCAGGATGGAGGATGGATTTGGCGGCCAGCCGCGGCCTGCCTCCATTTGGATGGGTGTTGGTGGAGTTGAACATGTTTTTGATGTTTTATGCTGACAAGTATTGACATATATTATATGTGTGCACAATGTGTTTCTATATTATGGAAATTAAACTGTTACAATCGTCTAACACTTAAAACATACTAAAAAGGTCTCTGTCTGAGGCCCTTTGGCTCTGTGGGCCAAAGAGTTCAGAGCTCCAAAGCTCCGAGTTAGGCTTTCCATCCAATCATATCCAATCAGTGCGTGAGCTGGCAAAACCAGAAAACAGCACTTCCGCAAATTCCACCCTTGGCTTCGGGTCGAAGTTCGACCAATTACATGCACCACCCAGCTTCTATTTGTTGGTTGATAGACCCTTCCACCGTCCGAACTGGGTGGTTCTTGGAGTGTTCCATTATGTTCCTTTTGGGACTACACCATCCGGCTGCTAGGACGAACAGCGAGGATGCTGTGGTCCCATGTGGCCAAGGGAAGGTACAGCAACTTAGATCATTGTGCAAGGTTTTAGAGATGATATAATATACCAAGATTTGGCCAACAAAAGGATCCCATATTGACCCCATGGTTCCTTCATGTTCTTTCATGCTCTTTCTCGTATTGTCGTTCTTCATCCTGTTGCCTCGTGACTGGCACGGTGCCGGAAAAAGAAAAAAACCACATGCGCACTACACACGCGCCTCGCGCGCGGCGTTGAGGCGCTGGTTCACCCGCGCTTCAAAGGACTGGTACCTGCCGATGGGTCACGCAGCGGAGTGGACCGTCATGGGGCTCAGGGGTGAGGACTGAGGCCCGAACGGCAGCGCACATGAGATTAACATAGGCCACTGCACGGCTTATATAGACCTATAATAAGGCCTAATAATACTCTGGCATCTTTGGGGAAGGCGGAGCCGAAACCTCGTGGTTTGAGGGCTCAAAGGTTTTTCCGAAAGAGCACGATTCTTGAGCCCCACCCTTTAGAAAGCTTCCCTCTTGCAAGAGTGCCACTTTGAAAAGAAACATAGTGTATACTTGATACACCAACAAGCACCGATCTATTGAACATTTAGCCAGGCTCTGGAGCCGAATCCAATCCCCACAGCTCCCAGCTAGAATCTCCCCAAGCAGTCCAGCCCGTGGGGGAACCCCCCGCTGCGGCACATGGTCTTGCCGGGTTGTGTCTCCAGCTTCCCGCGCTGGGCGTCGGCCAGGATGTTGCGCACCTCATTCTTCGCCTTGGGGCCGGGTAGAAAGGCACGGGGCATAGCTGGTTCAAGGCGCGTCATTTGTTCCCAACATCCTTTGTGGGTGAGGATCCGCTTGTAGACATCCGCTGGGCCTGGAACTGTCGCCATGAATGTGGCTTTAGTGTTTGCAGTTGGAGTACTAGAAAAGCTTATTAAAGAAAAACAACACACAAATACACAACACATCACAAGTTATGGCCGGGGCCTGCCTAAGCTCCGCAAGCTCCGCAAACAAGCACAACCCTGATGTTTGATGAATGGACATTGCACACACCAAATGACGTATCCTGGCCACAATAAACCGGTCTTGACTCGGTCTTGACAAAGCCTTTGTCAAACCCCGCAAAAATTGGGAGTCATCTTCTCTGTCCTGGGGTCGTATGAACGTGGCCTGCTTTAAGGTCTTCTCCACGTTCAACAACGTCTGGTCGTTGGCAATAATGTCTGCCACACCACAGGAGAACCTCGGCTCACTGCCGGTCGGACACCGGGCTGAAGGGCGAGGCGAGCTTCGGAGAAGGTGGACTGGGTGGACCGGGGTTCTGAAATGGAGAACCTCCAATCGTTCGACCCGGTGGTTGTTGGATGAAGATGCAGAAGTCGCAAAGGGTCATAAAGGGTCAAAGGGTGGCAATTGATCCTCTCAACCAATGGGTGTTGCATGGTTTTGCGCTTTGCTTCCCCCAGGATCAGCGTGAGGGGACCAAATCTTCAAACAGCTTCCCAATCTTTTAGAAGTGCCAGGACATCCCAAAGGCAGCATGAACAGCAATCTCATTGAAGTTATATGAATCAAAATTGTGCCAAGGAGTCACAAAAGGGGTCGATCAAGTGCGCCATGTCAACAATATGCCTGACGAATTATATATTATGATGCCAAAACAACAATGTTGATGTAACTGAAGAACAAACTAAACACACATGAACTCATATGACTGTCTTCAGGTGGTTCAATTCAAACGCATCTCAACTGTACAGTTTCACATAGTTTCACCAATCCACCATTTCGAAGAAGAGACTGCTTGGGACACGGAACCCATTGTGGGTCAGCCACTGGTTCACCATCTTCTGGATGTACGACAACACCTCGCGGCGAGCTTGATGGGCCGATGCTTCGGATGGAGCGGACGAGTCTGAGGCCTCGACCGACGAGTCTGAGGACCGTAGAGGTAAGGTCGGTCATCAGCGAGTCGAGGTGGGATCGTAGAGGTGCGTCAGTGACTTGCATCAATGTCAGGCAAGGATTCAACCAACGAAAACAAAAATAACTTCAAGTTAACATTATCTGTGGACAAGTCCTCAATATCCTGGGCTACTGATTCTACAGATATTGAATCCCGGAGCAGGTTGGATACCCTGGATCCAATAGCCAGTGGATCCTGGGTACCCATTGGGTACCCAACCGACCGTGCTTGATCCAATGATGGTTTGGTTGTCCTTTCAATATGAACAAATCCCTGAGACGTCCAAGGCCCAAACACGTGACATGCAGAAACATGAAAACACATTTTGGCCCAACGATGTCGTAGTACCTAACCTGAGAGCTCCAGACGCTCGCCCCGTGTATGCCATATTTGCCGATCAGGCGGGGGACAATGTACATTTACCCATGGATTGTCTGCGGCGACATCACAAGAATGTCAACTAAGTCTGGTGGTTTCCAACCACTGCTACACTGTGACTGAGCGAATAAATCACTTCTGCACTTGAAGGAAAACTGGTTGTCCTTACACCAAGCTCGGTACTGAACCGATGTCCCATTGACGAGGCGAAGGCAGCACCCTCTGAAACAAGCAACTGGCCATGTCCTGCAACGGGTCATTTACATGAAACTCGACATGGTATTACCAACATGTACCCCATCTACTATAGGGCCCCTTTCCGGCTGGAGGGGGCGTCCATAAATGAACACATGTCTCATGCCAATGTCCATGCCAAAACAAAGCACGCTCCCAGACCCGGGAGCTCCGGCATTGCGACACCACTCTGGGCCACTGTCGAGCCAAACCTCGGAGGCCACGCCGTTCGAATCGAACGCCGAGCGGCGCGCCGCTCGCTCGGCGCGCCACATGTGACACGCACAGTCTGCTAATTAAGCATGGCAGCCTCAGAACTTGGACCTCTGGAGTGGAGAACTCTGTGCGATCTGGCGGAAAGTCGGAGTCCACTCTATCGAGTGAAGTTGACACGATCGATCCGTCCAGGATCGATCCGTCCGGGATCCCAAGAGGTCAACCCAACTGAGGCCGCCGCTAAGTGGAGCAAGGAGCCACTGGAAGATCCGATCTGCGCAAGTTGGAAGAATTCTGGATGATGAGGTCAGGCAAGCGGAAAATACATTGAAAATACATGGGGTTAGTGATGAATGGGGAGATGTAGAATGTTGCAACACCTCAAGATAGCACGTATTTGACGATGTCCAACAAGTCGATCCGGCACCAAAAGAAAAGATGGTCTTGCAACACCTGACCAGACCTACGATTGGTCAACTCCACTGACCGCGCGGTGTCCGGATCGCGGTTCCTCCACCGAATCGGTGTCGCGCGAACCGTCACGTCGGGTGTCGCGCGCCGTCTTCTTGCAAATGATTCCGCTTAAGAGCTCGCCATTCACGATGAGCACCTGTCAGCATCAGCATCGGCGGGAGCGGGATGAACACCAGTTCGAGAAGTGGTGGGAAGTGGAGCAAAGAATCTAAGAAGGGAGAGATGGAAAACGTATATATAATGAAAACATGAGTATCTTATCTGAAGGTGAAGATGATGCACCTGTCATGCCAATAACAAAGCTGAGAATCTCCGATGTTCGGTCTTCCAGCCAAAACACACTGTCCACTGCTATAGCGGGTCCTGGAACATGGGTGTGTTCAATGGATCTTCGGGGTCTTCAGCTCAGCGGCATGGGCCACATCGAACAAGCTCCCTCACTTCAATTGTGCTGAAATCCGTGATTGTCCGCCCCGATGTTCCAGTTTTCGCTGAGTGGTCACAAATCCGAGTTGGTGCCCGCAGCAAGGTCGACCGCTCGTCCCCAAGTCCGAGTTTGCTTCACCAGGGAGACGAGTTGGAACATGTGGAGACCTGAGTCCCGTGGGGAGGGGTTCCAGGAAGGCCATGCCAGGCTCTCCGGCGACAAACACCACGCAGTCCAACTCTAAGCCTTTGGGTGCCCCAAAAAAATCAGAGCAAACCTGAACATGTTAGATTCACCCCTGAAACCGCATATTCCTGAAGTGAGAGATTGCTCCAAATTGGTCAGCCCCACTTCTTTCAGAACACAAATTTACAATTTTTCGATATCTTTCAAACACTTACAGTACATGTGTTTGGTTGCACATTTCGTTTGTTGGAACCACCAAACCATCGTGGGAAGTCGATCTGTCTCTGCGTCTCATCCCACGGTCGACCGCGCGACGAAACGCCTTGCAATCGGAGGCCGCAAAGTCCGGTTCGTCCTTCTTGTTCTTCGTCGCGATGGCCGCATCCCGCTGAGAGAGCGAAAGGCGATGGCTGAGGTCAAAGCGGTGGGTGGGTGGTCAATTGTTGCGCGGTGGGAGCGGATGAACGAGACATATCGACTGTATAGTTGATGAATGCTGCACCGGACTTTAAGATCCTGAATCATGCAGTACAATACAACAAAATAAATACTAGAAATATTCTGATGGACTGCTCTGAGCAAATCATGTGGAAAACAAGGAACAGTGTGGGAGAGCAAGGGCTTCGTCTAGTTATATAGGCGATTGCATGAGTCACTTCTGGAGTTTCGTGAATGCCAACTGTTTTAGACGCAAACGCGTTGGTGGATGTGGTTGCGAAAGCTTAGGTGGGCGGATTGCCACAGCAAAAGCGCTTGCTTTTGATATGTAGTGAGAAGTTAACATGTTCATAAAGGAAAAAGCTATATACTAAATTTCTGATGGTGTCCAAATTTGGTCCTGGAGGCATATGACACCTGACAACCTCCAAATAGTCGTGTATATAAATAACTAAGACTAAGTTTCTCCAGTCTTTTTCTGCTTGTATATGTTAAACTTTAAAGTAATGCCTTAGCTCTGTTTAAATTAGTTCGCCCCTTTGGTTCTACCTGTCCCTCCTTACTTTACATCAGTTAAATATTCCAAGTTATTTCTCTTGGTCAAGTAGTTGTCAACTTGCATGTCGATCTTGCATAGCTCATTCTTCAGGTCAAGGGTCCTATCGAATTCTTACTTAGATACTGTCGATCTTCAGAATACCCATAAGCACTTCAGAAACCCGGACCCTATCTTTAGGAGGCTTCCCGGGTAGTTGCTGGTAACGCCTCCAGGCGCCTGTGCCTGATATGTAAAAACCTCCAATAATGCAGTATCTAGTGTGCTTGATATATGACTTTGTCCTTCTGTGAGCTACAGCTGTGTTGGGGGGGGTTTTGGGGGGGGGTCGGGGGGGGGGCG